GTGGGCTGCACAGTTAGCTCTGCTGTTAAAGAGCTTGTTGTTATAACATCAAGGTCAAGGGTTTGGATCCCCGAACCAGCCAACCACAATAAAAACAAATAAATAAACCAAGTTATAGAGGAAAATTGGTCTTACACAAGCATATAAATTCCTCACTTGTATTTTACTTATCTCAATGTTTTTCTTTTAAAAAACATAAAAAAATACTGTATTTCCCAGAAAAAGAAATGAAATAGTCATCCTTTAATGACACTTCTGTATAACCTTGACAATTACCTCAAGCTATGCCTTATTACTTAAAACAGCTATTCAAACCAACAAGCTGTTCCCCATCATCTTATCTCCCTTTAAGCCTTAACCCATATAGACATAAAGATAAAAATCTTACAGGGCTTTTCTTTCTAAATAACCAAAAATCATAATTCAACCAAAGCAGTGAAGCTAACATCACCAGATAAAGTTTACAGAAAAGCACTATTGTCTATTTTCTGCCATAATGATTTATACTTCAAAGAGAAGAAGTATATGCCATACATAACTTGTCATTAAAATGCTATAGTTTGTAATGTAATCCTCAGTTTACATAGAGCTCATTACACTCCCACCTTCAAAATCCTTATTACCATCTCATTTTATTTTTACAATAATCCTGGAAGGCACACAGAGCTGGCCTTACTACCAGTGCAACCAAGGTGCACTGAACCTAAAACGACTTTCTTTGGGGTCACAGAGATAGTACAGCTGTGACTAGACCCCAGGTCTCAACCCAAAATTCTTAAGATCAAATTATTTTTGTAGCTCTTCCACCTCCAATTCTTGCCCAACTCAATTCTCTAACTACTCAAGACTGTGCCTGATTAGTATTTTAATTGATGAATAAATTAGTTTCAGAAATAACCACTGACTTGAACAGAATTTTGGCAATAAATGTTTATTGGAAGAGAGGGAGTGGGGAAGGAAAATTTTTTAAAAAGAGGAAGAGGAAGGGGAGCGGAAAGGAGTGGAGAAAGAAGAGGAGGGAGGAAAAGAAGGACAGGGCAAGGAAGTATCTAGTATCTTCTACTGGAGAGAGTAAAACAACCTTTCTAAAGTATGACAACAATCCATATTCCAGCAGTAAGGGTTGGGAAACAACAAGCAATCGATCAAGTATAAATTCAAAAAAGGTTTAAAAAAAAAAAAAAGAGCACTGGAGAAAAGGGGTAATGTGACAGCAATAACAACCCTCAGGACTTGGAAAACGGCCTATTTTCTACTTCAACACAAGTAACACCAGAAGCAGAGTTAGCAATCTGCCTGGAGTCTTGGAATTACTTCTAAAGGTTATCTATATACAAAACTTTTATTAGGCTTTAGAGATATAAAGACAAAAATTGCCATGAAACACTCAGCGAGCGCAGTCTCTGAAACATAAATATAAGGGTACTTCACAAAGTTCGTGGAAAAACAGAACTAAAGTAGTATGAGTATTTCTATGAACTTTTGAAGTACCCTTGTACAATCACATAGAGTTAATCTTAACACATAACACATGATCCTGAAAAAACTACCTTACAACTCTCATTCTTTGGCGGCTTAATAACTACTTATGATATAAACTAGGACTCTTTCCTAACTGACAGATAATTGGAAGTATTAACCTAATTATCCAAAGACTCTGGATATATCACCAATATTTTACCTCTTCTCATTTCAAGACTACCAGTATATGCAGACCTACTACCACTGCCTTGTTGGTAAAGCCAATGAAAAGGCTAATCAGGTACTAACATGTAGAAAATAAGTTGACCTACCAGCCAATATCAAAATTTTAGCAAACGGTAAGTCCAAGTATCAGTCCTGTCATTTCTAAGTACAGTTTTTTTTGGCTAATCAGGTACTAACATGTAGAAAATAAGTTGACCTACCAGCCAATATCAAAATTTTAGGAAACGGTAAGTCCAAGTATCAGTCCTGTCATTTCTAAGTACAGTTTTTTTTAAAAAAAAAATACTCAAAATTTACCTAACAATGCAAGACTGTTGAATACCAGAAATGTTAGCTTCCATCAACAAAGATTTTTTTGTTCAATTTTTGAAAGACACGCCTACAGAAATATTAAAGGAAAACCACAACGTGATCCATAATAACTCTTCCCAGAAAGAAAAAGAGAGAACACAAAAAATTAGTCTTGCTCCACAGAAAAGACTTAACCTTTGTCACAAACCAAACCCAAGAGAAACTAAGAAAACTTTTTATAAGAATACTGACAGAGTGGGCGTTTGGGAGTGCCAAAAACTGAAATTCAGATAAATCAGAAACAAGACAGCGCAATACACCAACCGACTAGCCACCCCTACTGTCAATATCGTACTAATTTTACAACACAGGATGCACTGAATCGATAGTTGATAATTTAACATATACACACATGAGATACACAGGAATAACTTGCTTTCTACAGAATCTAGCATTTCTCATATTTTTTAACTGTCCTAAGCATAATAATCTCTAAATTGGACATACGACCCCTAATTCCTAAAAGTATCAACCACATGCCATTCTCATCCTTTTGCTGGGAACATTCTAAACAAAACGGAAATACTAATTGGGACAGCAAGTCTCCTCCTCAAAAGATACTTTGAAACATAAGTCGAAATGGAATTGCCTCAAATGGCAAAGGCAAGCATTTAAGGAGATATCGACATATGTGAAACCCTAAGGTTAGTATCGTTTTTGCAGCTCACGAGCTTTCTTTTCCAACCTGCGGATGCACCTCTAACCACAAATTCAGAGCTCACCCACTCTGAGGGAAGAAGAATTGGATTAACCACACCCGAAGTAAGTTCAGGCATAAGGGACAAGAAAGGGGCAAGGGAACTTCAAATGTTTCCAAGGAAACCTCTTCAAGAAGAGCCCCACCCGGCTCCCGTCCCTACTTGCCAGGCAAGGGGCAGCCGGGGAATCGGGAGGACCAGCTAATTGTAGGGACAGGTTCTCCGACCTTCCTTGCCCAGCCTCGGCCGCGGCCAGGCCTCCGGTCCCAGGTTGTGGAGACCCAGCTCTCGCCTTCACCTCAGCTTTCCCCCTCGCGCTCCGGAGAGGAGCTCCCAAAGCAGCCTTCTCTTCCCACTCTCAGCCCCAGCCGGCCGCGCTCCAGGCCCCCTCCCTTACCTGCGCCTCCCGCCCCGGCCCCGCCGGCCTCGCTCCACCCCAGCCACCGCTTCACCCGGCTCAGGCCCCGGAGCGCCGTGCTGGGATACTCCGGTCGCCGGCCGTTGCGGCAGGAAGCGAAGCTGCTTACCGGTTGAAACGGAGTCTCGCTTCCCCCCGAGGCTCCGCCCTCTGCCCCTCTCCCCCTCCAATCCGCAATCTTTCCCGGGGGGACTCCGCCCTCTCCTCGCAGCCCGCCCCGCGTTCCCATCAGATGTTCAGGCAGAGAAAGTCCATCCCAGATAGAGTCGTCCTCGCCAATTCGGCCGCGATCAGGCCGTCTCAGCCTTCCTAAAGGAAGCCAGGACGATAGCCCGCGTGAGCGTCACGCGTGCGAGGTCACCCGATGGGTGCTCGGGGCCTTGGGCACCGGATGAATACCGGCTGGACCGCGGTTACCGTATGTGCTCGATACTGTGAGCACTCAAAAGACGTTTCCGCGCTTCTCGTTCTTGTGGAATGACTTGTACTTGTGTCACTCACACATAGCTGGGGTTAAGAGCGCAGACTGTTATCGGACTTGCAAGACGCCAATAGCCAGCCAGATGACCTTAAGCAAATTGCTAATTTCTTTAGGCCTCAGACCTCTGGTATGCAAAATGGGGTTAATAATAGTACCCACTTCATAGACACTTATTTGAGGATTAAGTGAAACAGTGCGTGTAAAGCAATTGGCACAGTGCCTGACCCAGAGTAAGTGATGTTGCAGCTATACTTCATCTTTTCATTCAGGATTTGTGTAGCAAATATGATGCAAATAAAGTTACCAAGCCCCCACTTGCTCAGCCTGGCTAGCATTGTCTGTCAGTTTTGTCCTGCGAAGAGCGCTGCGCCCTTAACCGCAGAAAATACGCCGACACCTGCTGACCTCAATTGTGGAGCTTGGCAGGGGAGGATGGAAAGGAAAGGAAACCTAAAGAGAGGTACTATTTTAATTAAATTCCTCGGGCCTTTTCCTCAAGAGTTTTGGCAAATTCCTATCCAGTTCTCCTTGAGTTGGTCTTTCCGGCCACCGAAGTACCACCCAAACCTGTAGGTTTGTACCAATGCAAATCCTGGTCACTATCTTCAACCGGGTCATTTTAGGAGTCTGTAGTCAACTTCGTCTCCCACTCCTCATTACTGCTGTGCCAAACCTCCCTCCCCCCATTACCTTGACTTTCATTCTCGGCAGAGAATCTCATCTTCTACCCGAGTGAAAAAGCCAGGTTACTTGGGTGTGACCTCTAACCATCTTATCACCCCCACCACAACATTTACCTGCATCCACATTTGGCCTGCCTCCCTCCCCTCACCTCTGGAAGAAGGGGGCTGCTTCTCCAATTCAACCTTCTGGCCGCCAGTATATCCTCTCCTGTCTCCAATGACTCTTCTTCCTCAGCTCACAAAAATGCTAAAGTCTGTCTTTTAAAAAAGGAAAAAATGTTCTTCCTGGCAATTAGCCCACCAGATGTTGATATTTCATACACCTATAAGTGTAAAATAGACAGAGAGGTTGTGTGGGGAAAAAATAAGGAAGTAAATAAATAAATAAAATAGACCCAGAGATCATGTGAACAGAACAGATAGCCCAACTGAGAAGACTCTAGTGTATATAGAAACCCCATGTAAGGTAAAAAGAAATGTCCATTCAATAAAGATTTTTTAAGTTACTGATTTGACTGTCATTGTGTTAGGCACTACAGTAGGGATAAAATTGTGAACATGACACAGTCCATGTTCTCATGAAGCTTATAATCTAATGATTATATCAGCTTATTTAACTTCTATGGAAAAGAGATGGAAAACTGGCTACCGTTTTGGGGGAAAAAATCTGTTCAGATAATTACCTCATACCAGACATCCAAAATTAAATTCCAGATGAATTTTTATCTGTAGAGAGTTTTTTTTTTTTTGTCTGTGTAAATATCCTCCTCAAAAACTTTCATCCAAGCCCCCATCTATGATTCTTGCTGAATCGACTATTGTTATGACAGCTCTATACTTATATTCGTTGATATGTATGCTACATTTTACTGAAAATAGCTTTTTTTCACTTTATATTGAATAGCATTAACATGGACTCATGTTTTGCTTTCAATGTGTTATAATTCATTACTGCCACCACTCATTTTGATGCTCCAGTTGTCCCTGATTTGGCCAGTGGCCTTCAAGCAGGCTCCTGCGTCCGTCTGACGTGGCTCCACCGCGTTCTGAGCACTTTATTTTTTCTCTCGACGCCCCCTCCCACCCCTGACCCCCCTCCACCAGCCCCTGATAGCCACTGTTCTCTCTGCTTCTCCTTTTTTTTTTCCGCCTGCTGGTTTATTAAAAGTCCCCACAGGGCTTGACTTTTTCTTTTCCACCTGGTGCTCTGCAGCTTCCTGGGCCCTCTGGTCCGGATGCTGAGGAGCCGGCGTCGGCGCGGCGGTGGGAAGATCGGCAAACACCTTGAGGTCCTCCTCCTCGGAGGTGACTCCGGCTTCCTCCTTCTCGTAGACATTCCCTAGCGCGTTGCTGGGCCTGCCAGCTGGGGGCCGGCCTGAGTCCTTCAGCAGGGCTGTCTCCCTTCTGGGGGGCCGAGGGCTCCCTGCGGGGGAGCATGCGTTCGGGGCGGTACTCAGCAGCCCAGCCGCGGCACAGTGGCCTGCAGGGACTCGAGGGCTTGTCCCCCCTCCTCAGATCCACGGAGATCCCAATGGTCCGAGCCAGCTTCTCGTGGGTGCCGCCCCCCCTTAGCTCCTCCAGGCTGACGCCCCTGCCCGCGGGCACTTTGGCGTGACCTGCACCGTGGGGCACCTCGCGGACCTTCCCGCCAGCTGGTTGAATCGCGGGGCCTCGCGCCGCCGCCAGCCCCAGAGGGACTTGAAGATCATGCCATTCCAGCTGGGCGCCCTGGCTGCCGGTGGCCCTCCTCGCAAGACAGCGGCGGAACAGAAAGGCTCTACTCTACTTCTGTGAGTTCAGCTTTTTTTGATTCTCCGTACATGTGAGGCCCTGTGGTATTTTTCTGTGCCTGGTTTATTTCACTTAATGTCCTCCAGTTTCATCCATGTTGTCCCCAATGACAGGATTTCCTTCTTTTTTAAGGCTGAATAGTATTCCGTTGTGTGTGGATATATATATATCACATTTTCAGTATCCAGTTATCCGTTGATAGATACTTATGTTGATTCCATATCTTTGCTATTGTCAATTATGCTGTAGTGAACATGGGAGTGCAGACCTCTCCTCAACATACTGATTTCATTTCCTTTGAACATAAAACCAGTGGTGGGATTGCCCGATTATATGGTAGTTCTATTTTTAATTTTTTGAGGAACCTCCTTACTTTTTTCCTTAATGGCTGTACTAATTTACATTCCCACCAACTGTGTACAAGGATTCCCTTTTCTCCACATCCCACCAATATCTATTATCTTCTCTCTTTTTGATAATAACCATTCTAACAGGAGTTAAGTGATATCTCTCATTGTAGTTTTAGTTTACCTTTCTCTGATGTTTAGTAATGTTGAGCATTTTTTCGCATACCTGTTGGCCATTTATGTCTTCTTCTGAGAAATGTTTATTCACAACCTTTGTCCATTTTATAACCAAGTTGTTTTCTTACTATTGAGTTGTTTCAGTTCCTTATACAGGCATACCTTGGACATATTGTGGGTTTGATTCCACACCACCACAATAAAGCAAATATCACAATAAAGCAAGTCACACGAATTTTTTGGTGTCCCAGTACATATAAAAGTTATATTTACACTCTACTGTAGTCTATTAAGTGTGCAATAGCATTGTGTCTAAACAAACAATGTCCATATATTAATTTTAAAATACTTTATTACTAAAAATAAAAATGCTAACAATCATCTGAGCCTTCAGCAAGTCGTAATCTTTTTGCTGGTGGAGGGTCTTGCCTTGATGGCTGCTGACTGATTGATCTGGGTGGTGATTGCTGAAGGCTGGGGTGACTATGGTAATTTCTTAAAATAAGACAACAATGAAGTTTGCCATGTCAATGGACTCTTTCATGAAAGATTTCTCTATAGCATATGATGCCGTTTGATATCGTTTTACCTACAGTAGAACTTCTTTAAAAATTTGGAGTCAATCCTGTTAAGCCCTGCTGCTGCTTTATAAACTAAGTTTATGTCATATTCTAAATGCTTTGTTATCATTTTCACAATGTTCACAGTATCTTCACCAGGAGTAGATTCCATCTCAAGAAATCACTTTCTTTGTTCATTCATAAGAAGCAACTCTTCACTTGTAAAAGTTTTATCATGGGAGGCTCCACTTCTAATTCCAGTTCTGTTGCTATTTCCACATCTGCAGTTACTTCCTCTGCTGAAGTCTTGAACCCCTCGAAGTCATCTGTGAGGGTTGGAATCAGCTTCTTCCAAACTGTTGTTAATGTCGATATTTTGACCTCTCATTAATCACAAATGTTCTAAATGGTATCTGAAATGTTGATCTTTTTCATGAGGTTTTCAATTTACTTTGCCCATATTCATTAGAGGAATCATTATCTATGGCAGCTATAGCCTTACGAAATGTATTTCTTAAATAATAAGACTTGAAAGTTGAAATTACTTCTTGATCCTTGGGCTGCAGAATGGATGCTGTGTTAGTAGGCATGAAAACAACTTTAATCTCCTTGTACTTCTCCATCAGAGCTCTTGGGTGACCAGGTGCCTTGTCAATGAGCAGTAATATTTTGAAAGGAATCTTTTTTTCTGAGCAGTAGGTCTCAACAGTGGGCTAAACCATTCTATAAATGTATAAGCTGTTATCCAGCTTTGTTGCTCCATTCTTTTTTTTTTTTTTTTTTTTTTTTTTTTTTTTATTTAAAGATGACCGGTAAGGGGATCTTAACCCTTGACTTGGTGTGGTCAGCAACACGCTTTCCCAAGTGAGCTAACCGGCCATCCCTATATACGGATCCGAACCTATGGCCTTGGTGTTATCAGCACCACACTCTCCCAAGTGAGCCACAGGCCAGCCCTTGTTGTTCCATTTATAGAATACAGGAAGAGTAGATTTAGCATAATTCTTAAAGGCCCTAGGATTTTCAGAATAGTAAATGAGCATTTGCTTCAACTTCAAGTCACCAGCTGCATTAGC